TGAATATGTCAGAGGGCATATAGATCTGTGAATTAATACCATTAAACTGTACTGCCTGGAGTAAGATTTGCTGCAGAGGTTACCTTCAGAAATAGGAAGTTTTCTTCTCCAGATATATAGATATTGGGCTGTGCACAGAGAGTGGAGATACCAAGGTTTACTTGTAGCTGCCTTTGCTTCATGTTTGGGTTGCTGCAATGCACTTTCTGCAGAGGTGTTAGAATAAATTAAACTGAATTCCTCAGGGGTTGTGCTTGCTGGGATGACATGAAAGTCAACCCTGGCTGTTGTCCCAGGAGATGTATGTGGGAGCAGATTTGTCTGTATGATTTTACTGGTTTACTTTGAATTAAGCACTCAAACTCAGTTCACTTTGCTAAAAGCAAAATATGTTGCAGCACTGCTATAACTTGAGAGTTAGAAAAAAAAAGTTGAGCTCTCAATATTGAGAGGTTCCCTCTCTGCCAGAGGGGTCCTACCTGGACTGTTGGACTGACCTTCTACCCCCGTAGTTGTGCACCAGACAGCATGGACTCTGCTTTTGAAATCAGTATTGCTTGAAATGGTGGAAAGCTAGGAGATGGAACTAGTGGAAATGTGTCACTCTCATTACTCACATGAATGCTCCCTTCCCTAAAAGACACAGCTTTGGTATGGTCTAAGCACTTTTTTAATTCAACTGAGGCACTGAGTACGTGACAAAAGCACTGGCGTAGGTGCTATTTATGGACTGCTCCCAAAGTTTGGTGGATCTAATGAAAGTGAGGGCCAGCATCTCCCAAAAACTTGGTACTGATAGTCTTTTAAGAGGCGCTTCAGCACCAGATGTCATTATGAGAATTTAATGAATACCTATATGGTTACTTTACAGCTGACACCCAAGATGGAACAGGCTGTGCACATAATCAACTCATGGTTTTGAACAGTTGTTGAAAAAAAGTCCATGTTTGGTTCTTGGAGTTCTTATATAGGGGAAGAAAGGGACTTCACACTTATTCTGAGAACTGTTTCTCCAAATTCTCGGTGTTTTTCCATTCTCTGCTCACCCAGTTGGGAAATGAGTTAAACTTGTGTTAACTGCTCATCATTTTCAAAGATCTTTTTTTTCCTCATCTGTGTTACTTTAATGAGGAGACTTTCAATTGTTTCATCTTTGCTTTGTAATGATACAACTGTTAATCAGGTGTTAACCAGGGGAACTAGCTCATCGCTTTCCTCACGTATCTTTATTTTGCAGGATAAGCAGCCAGATTTGTGTTCTCTGATTGCTCCAAATTTCCTATTGCAGACTTATCCCCCAGCCAACTTTTTTCTGGTTTTACCTATGTGACTGCTTTTTTTCTTTATTAAATGTTGTGTTTAATGGGAGTTGTTTTATTAGCAGCATTGAGAATTGGGCTGCTTTACTCTAGGGTTAGGAACAGAATTCAATAAAAAATTTAAAAATCATCCAAGCAGAAGAAAAGCAACATGTTCACACCCAAAGAGCAGAGACAGTTGGCTAACTGGTTTTGCTTGGCACATGGAGTTCTTCTGCCTGCCACCAGTCTGTACTCTGCCTAGAAATAACATTCTCACTCATGTTGCACCCTGATTTGGCTCTGTGGCTTTATTTGGTTAAGAAACTGCTGGAATATCTGACACCACTCTTCAGCCTGGGACATAACACTCCTGTGTGAATTGGCTCTTGTTCCCAACTCTTGCTGGGCCTGGTCTTTGCTGCCAGGCTACATGCTTGTATTGCAACTTGCCACTAACATCTGGTAATAAATATAGAACTTTCTGCTTATTGCCCTTGATATCTAATTATACTCTGAACTGTTTTTCTTCAATGCACCTCATAATGTCATGCTGTAAAAAATGGGGAAGACAAGTTTTAACAATTCCCAGCTTAAAAGTAAAAGATGACAGTCACAGTGGTGAACAATCCTGTTATGTTGCTCCTATTACACTTCCTGGTGTGTACTCAATGGATAATAAGGACCACTGCTCGATGGCCAAAGATGAAATTTTTATGATCATACCCTAGAGATTTGATAGTTTTCAGCTTTCCGTAAAAAATGATGTGGTTTTAGTGTGCTAAGCACATGTAGCTTCTGATGCTTTTTGAACAGGGGATTTAATGGGATATCTCAGCAGCTGACTGTGTCCAGCCAGAGGAAGCAGGAGACACTGTAGCAGTGTCCAGGTTTTGCTGGAGTTGGACACAACATATGGAGGGCAATGGTGCTTCAGATGAAGAGTGGAAACTTGGGATGGAAAAGCATCCTGCAGACTGTGAAGCAATGAGGTGAGTGTGCACCTGTAACCACTGCAGCACGGATGGATCTGCCAGGAAGGTCATTAAAGAAATCAATGTGACCTTGACAAGCACATGGCCTGGTCAGAAAATATTGATTCACTAATGACACGCTGTTGCATAATCCTCTCCTATTTGGGTCTGATGGTTTCTAGACATGATTGATTTCAATGTTTGCAAGGAAGCACATAACAAGTAAAGAACATAAATTATTCTGTGAAAGTTGGTTCTTGAAAGTAAAAAATGTTTTGGACAGCAGAGGAGAATTCTGTAGCAGGCTGACAGGCTTGTGTATCCTTTTCTTTTTGTTCATCATATTTTGAATCTTAATGCTAACTTCTCAGAGTCACAAAAACGCATGGGTTAGAAAGGAACTTAAAACCTTCTCTTCTGCAGGCTGAACAGTTGCAGCTCTGTGTCTTCCAAGGGAGATGCTCAAGCCCTCTGATCATTTTTGTGGTCCTTCTCTGGACTTGCTCCAACACGTCTGTGTTGAGTGCTCCAGAGCTGGACACTTTGCTCCAGGAGGGGCCTCAGAGACCAAAAATAAAGGGGCAGATACACCCTCCTTTTGTGCTCCTCAAGGATGACAAAGGATCCACTCTTCCTTCCCACCACGCATCCACAAAAGCATTCATTGCCATAGACGTCTGGTATTAAATACCCAATTTATTTGTATGGCAAAGTACCAGAGAACACAGAAGACCTCAAGGTCTTTGCTAAAATTCTCTATCCATGCAAAAATTGAATATGGTCAAAGAGCTTCAGAATGAGGACATCATCTTCTTTAGGGGGGATTCTTTCTGGCAAGGAACTGAGGAAAGAGTAGAAAATGTTAACAGTTGAAGAATCTAAATCTCAAAGACTTCCTTTTTGTCTACTTCAGCAATCTCTAAGAAGTTTCTACCTGGGTTATTTCAAACATTGTGTGGAGCTTGACCTGACTTAGCAGTTCTACTCCTGCTTTATTGCCTTGTACAGTTTGAGGAACTTCAACTCAATCTATTTTCTAGGGTATATTTTTCATTCTATAACTACCTGTCAATTTGTTAGTTTTGGATGGTGTTTTCAAGGAAACTCCTAATTCAGACTCGTGCAGCCATTCATCAGGTAAAGGACATGGATGAAAAATCTATATAGAAAATAGTTTAATGTCTTCTATCTGGCTCCTTCCTTTCAGGCACCCCAGGAAGACTTCAGTTCTCATTCAGATGTGGTTTGCACCACTGAATTGTTCAGGTTTGTCTCAGGATATACTGAGAATTTTGGAAAGCTGGAAAGCAACTAGTAAGGGAATATAGAATATATAATGATAATGGAAACATTTTTATAATTTAGTGTCTTGAGTTTAACCAGAAGTTCAAAAGTCATCCCATGCATTCAATGCGGAATCAGTCTGTACCTGTAAAAACTGAAGAGCCATTGGTTTCTCAGTTCAAGTCCCAGACGGGGCATTCTTTAACCGTATGAAACTCCTCAAATCAAATAGGAATAGAAACATTACATCTTGGCTTTAAAAATTCATCCAAAATGGTTTTCTATTTGTAAAATATTTAAACATTTGCCTGCAGTCTCAGGAATACAAGCAAAATTGTGCTACTACATGAAAATCTTATGAACTAGCTCAGAAATGGAAGTCTAGATGCAACTGTAGTTTGGTAGATGACTTGTGTACATAACTGTAAATTATTCTGTCGAAGAATTACTTATTGAGAAATGTTTTATTTCATGACAATTCCATAAATGTAGGAAAGAAATACATATCTCCAAATACATGTATATATAATGTTATCATAAGAAATATTCTACAGCAGATATTTGAATCTGCCAAAAGCAGTCCAGGGCTCTGCTTTCACTGAACCTCTGTGCCTTTCCATCCTCCTGAGTGTCTCTTCATCCTTCCTTCTATCTCTGCTCCTTTGACCATGACTATAGTTTTCTACAGACATGCTTTTGCAGTGCATAAAACTGACTGTCTCTGTGCTGTTAGCCAGTGAAGACAGTTTCTGTTCAGGAAATTGTTCTCTAAGTACTGCCTGCCTGAACCCCTTTGCAAAAGTTTTTTTACTTGACTGGGTTTTTCCAGTTTGTTTGTTACCTAAATATGAACACATGGGAGCACCAGAGGGGTTTTTTTAATGTTTTGTTTTGTTTGCTTTTTTTAGAAAAAAAGAAATCAGTGAGCGGGTTAGTTCAGGTATGATCTGGATGGGATCTGTGGTTGAAACAGACAGTTAGATACTATTCTTAATTTTATTTCATGGCAGTCCTCTCCGGAGGACCTGGCCTGTGTTGCTTCCCCGCTCAATGGCCACATTACCCCCTGAGGGACATCTCCAGCTGTCACCACCTCCAGTGCTGGCCCCGTGTGGTTTAGTGGTGGCCCAGGGCACATTAGAGGTGTTGTGAGGCTGTTGTGCTGGTGCCTGTGCACAGCTGCAGGTGCAGAGCAGGAGCCTTTCCCACTGAGGCGTGTACTCACCTTTGCAGAGGCTGCTGTGGAGCTCTGCAGGGCACAGAGCAGGATTCATTAACATATTTATGTTGTTCTACAGCCCAAAGAAGCAAAACTATGATGTGTTAAAGCTACTTATCTATTGCTCATGACTACTGCACTGCTTCTGTGTAATCAGCCAGAAAACTATCTTAGGAAGCCCTATTTTGCTTCTTTTGATGTCAAGAAGAAAAATCCCATTTGCAGCAGTGGTACAGAAACAGGAAGGAGCAGATGCTGGAAAAAAATTCATTTGAAAATTATCTCGAAGAGGAAGAGAACGTGTAGAAGGGACTACAGAATAAATTTACCACATTTGATTAGGTATGTGACACAGAAAGACCAGAAAATGAAGAAGCCTTTTAAAAGGGGTTGTTATAGGACTGTAAGCATTGGAGACTAATTTCTGAGGGCTGGGGGTAACATTGGGCAGAAATCTGAAATGTAAAGAATCTTTGTCCTGCCAGTGCTCCTGGGACTCTGGTGACTCTTCAGTAATTCTTGTCCACATGAACCACAGGGCTTAACATTGTCTTCCCCCAACACATGCAGGAGTCCTGTGTGTTAAGTGGCCAGCAGCTCCACCAAGCATTATGGCAGGATTTGAACCTTCATCTGCTGCAGCCTTGGACAGAAGGTTTTGGGAGAGAGGCACACAGTGCACAGTTCCTGGGGGTGAGCATGCAGCTGTTTTCTCTTTTTCTCATAGAAAACTTAGAGGCTTCAGTTGGGTGCTCTGGTTTGGCTGGGATGGTGCAAGGCTGGGAATGCACTGTGTCCCTCTCCTGCCGTGCAATCTCTCATGCTGGCTGCCACCCCCAGCCAACTGCCCCCACATTTATTGTTCATCAGGATGCCATATGAGCTGGAATATCCCTCTGTCCAGCTGGGGTCAGCTGTATTGGTTGTGCCCCTTCCCATCTTCTTGTGAACCCCCATCCTTCTTGCTGGCCAGGCAGCAAAGAATCTGAAAAGTCCTTGACTTAGTGTAAGCGCTGCTCAGCAACAGCTAAAACATCAGCATGTTATCAACATTATTCTCATCCTAAATCCAAAACACAGCTCCATACCAGCTAATAGGAAGAAAATTAACTCTACCCCAGCTGACAAAAGGATAAGCAGTGCCAAAGGCACTGATAAGTGCAGAATAAAGTGACTACTCTTAGCCAGTTTAGAGCAGCTTGCACAGCATGCTGGGTTCACAGTAACACTCTGGCCTGCTGCAGGCCTGAGACAGACATTAACTTTGCAGATCTCTTTTTACTGTGTAAGTGTTGTGCTCTTTCCTTGTCTGCCTGCTCCTGGGAGCAAGGGGTAGCCCAGCTGCATTTCTTCCCCTGTCTATATTGACTTACTGTTAACATTTCTCAAAGCTTTTTAAATAAAAGTAAAAACTCCTGGCCCCTTTGGGAAGACATCTGATTTTTCAGGTTTTATCTTTACCATTGATCCCTTTCCAGTTACTTCAGCCAAAGGTGAGGAAGTGATGTGTGAATGATGGATCATCTCTTTTTGTAACTAGGCTGTATGTAAGGGTCAGCTGTTAAGCTGAGATTCTTACAGAAGTCCCAGAAATAGGTACTTACTACTTTTGTGCAGCCAAGACAATTACACCAGGGAGAACACTCTACAGTGCACTGAATTCTCATTTTTGCTCTTATACTTTTTTCTATTCTCCTCTTGTCCCCCAGAGAGTAAACTGGACAAAGACTGCATCAGGGATGTATCCTGTGAGGTCAAACCCATTGTAGACATTTAGTGTGGCCTCCACAGGAAGAATTGCTCAACTCCAGTTGTAAGAAAGTGTCGATAAAAGATTCCTGTACAGAGTTTACTTTTAAAAGCATTTAAAATTGGACCTGAGCTGACTTGAAGCAGAGGATAGAAGAGAAGAATAATTGACCTGTAGTTCCATCTGATAGGGGTCTTCAGGTCATCATGACGTAGCAAGTGGGTCTATATTTAAGTGGGAAACACTAAGGGAACAGAGAAAGCATCCTGTCCTTAGTTGTCAGTGATGCTCTAGCATTGCTTGTAGTTATTCTGTTTCTCTATTAGCTGTAAATTGGTCTGATAAAAGGTCCAGTATTTTGGTGGACCAGTTGGTGGGAGAAAATGGATCTTTCATGGTGCAGGCCAAAAAGGAAATGAAAGTTTTTCTAGAAGTTTGCAAATATTTCCAGGACATTATAATACCACCTGGAATAATGCCCTTCCTGATTCACAGAAAGGAGGCACAAATGAACGTGCAAGAAGGTTATGGTTTGGTGGTCAGTTCCAGGTTTGTTTCCTTGGTTAACCAGCTGCCATGCTGGACAATGTTTTGCATAAAACCATGATTTCAAACCTAGGAAACACAACTGCCAGGCTCCTGAGCATTAGAGAGAGAAGAGGATGTATGTAGCTGATCTGCCATTCTGCTGAGGCCAATTTTCATGAGCAAATTTATTCCTTGGGGAAAGGATGTAAATAAGCTGTTTTTCTGGAATCTCAGCACCACGAGTTCAGCTTCTCTCTCATACACAAGGGATGGGGGTTTGGCCATCAAGGACTCAAGGCAAAATTGTGCACTTGGGATTATGTGTTGTCACCTGTTTGGAAGGACTTTTTTCCCCACCTACCCATCAAAGTCCAGCTTAGACTGAACAGTCTGATTTTTCAGTGATTTTCCATTGCACTTTAGGCAGTATTTATTACTGTGGGTGCTGTATGATCATCTGCCTGGTAAAACATTCTCTGACATGGGTATGAGGGCATAGTCAAACAGAATAAGGCTTGGGAATATTAGGTGATCTGTGGTGCTGGTCCATTTTCTTGAACAGCAAAGCTGGATGCAGGGATTTCTGGCCCTTTTTCCCCTGACAAATGGCATATTTTAAATTAGGATAATCTACTATTCCAGTTTCCAGGAGAACCCCACAAATGGCCTTACTAGCAGGCCTGAGAAGAAGGTGAACCTCCTCATGAACTGGAAGACACAGAATTGGTGGGAGAAAGAGAGAAACATTTTTAGCTGGCATCAAAGCCAAAGATGTGATGCTACATTCCAGTATCTCCACAAAGTCTCTGGAGAGACATAGATGCTTCAAGAGATGCTTTAGTTCAGAGCCTTCAGTAGATATCAGCCAAATGTCAACCCAAAGGAGTCTCTGACTCACTCCTGATCTTTCAGTCTGTGCCTGGCTCTCATGTGCTCTTTAGCTTGACGATGTAATTTGATTGCCAGGGCCACCTCCAATCCCTCCTTTCTCCTTTGTGTGTGTGGAGTTCTCCCACCCTGATTTGTTCCTCCCACCCAGCCTTTGTATAGAGCAACCTCCAACACAAAGTGCCCAAAAAAGGATTGTGCAGTTTTGTCACCATTACACCTCGTCACAGCAGGGAGGTGACTCAGCTGCCACCCTACGTGGCTGGGATGTGTCACCAAGTGAATGATGACATTTTCAAACACAGCAAAGTTTGGAGGTGGAGTAGAGGAAAAAGGAGGAATTAGGCTATAAAAGGACATTAGGAACACCAATGTTTCCAATAATCTGAAGCTTTTAGTTTAAGAAACATGCAGTTTAGAGAAGCATGTTATTGTCACCTAAGCACATTATGATCTCTTCTATATTTTTTTACGGTAAAAGGAAGACTGGTCTAATGCTTAGAAGTTTTGCATATGAACTGAGTAATTTAAATTCAACACTCTGTTCTGCAGCAAACTTCTTTGATTTCTTTTACCCCAGCTCTAAAACAAGGTTGAAAGTAGTGCTCCACTTTGAGACCGCGGGGAGATTTCAGTCACAGTCCATATACATTGTTGTCATGGAGTAGATCTGTTTGATGGACCCCCCTGGTGCATCAGTTTGTGCAGCACAGGGAGCTCATTTGATGGGTAAAACCACGGAAGTACAAAACTTTATTTTAGCTGTTGTGGAGGACAAAATGGATTCACTACTTTTGGTGGCAGAGCTTGGACTAAAAATAAATCTACTATTTACTGTAAATCTACCATAGACAAATGGGTGTCAAGGCTGTCATGGAAATTAACATATGGAGGCAGCTTTTCCTGAAAGGACAGGGTATCTGCATTCTTCAGATACTAGAAATGGTGAAATAGGAGTTGTTGAAATCCAAGAAATTAGTCTGGGATTTTGGGAGTGAAATTTATAAGCATGGGAGTTTTCACTTCAGTAAATAAACCTCATATTTATTCTTTGCAGCAATGGGTGGCTTAAAGAACAGCTAATGGAAGAACAACTGGGGTATAAACTGGGGTTCAATCCACCACAGAGTTCTTTTGCTACTATGTAGAAATTACTTAGGTACAGTGAGCCGTGGTTTATACTTTACCCACACTTTACCCATTTGTAAATTGGGTAAAATATCCTTACCCTGACTCACAGTGGTCCTCAGTACTAATGCTAATTTATCAATTTTCTTATAGACCGCTTATGTGCCATCGTGATGTCAGCAACTCCAGAGTCTTATTTGGATATAGCCTAAAACAAACTTCCCTGTTGCTTCAGAGATATTGTGGGACCACTTGGAGGTGTGAGACATGAAGTCCTGGCCAGAGTCCAAGTTTAGTGTAGTTCCAGCCTGTTTCCCAGAGAATCTGCTCTGTGTGTTCAGGAGGACATGCTCTCATCTGTTCTGCGTGTCTGCTGTGGGCTGTTGAAGCAGCTGACACGCATCACCCCAGAGGAGCTGCATGCTATAATTGGTAAATCTCTGTGTACGCTAAACCAGTGCATGGCATTTAAGTGTTTGAGATTCCTTTGGGGAGCAGGAAACTTACATAACAGGATGAAAGAGCTTTCTGTTTAGATGGGAAGAGCCTAGATATGTTCTTTCTTTGGTAGAGCTGTAATTCCATATCCAGTGCTTAATGAACAGGCGACAATGATAAATGTTGGAAGAATATTGTTGTTGAACAAATGTTTCAACCCAGCAGATGGAAACATGGATTCATTTAGTCTTTAGGAGTTCAGAAACATGAAAGAAAATTTGTGGAATGAATCTTCTGTGTCAAGAGGTCCCAGTCTGTGCTGTCAAAAACATTAACTGTTTTATTAACTGGTTAAACTCACTTTAAAATGAGCTAGGAATCACTGCAAACAAAAAGCCATTTGGTAGTCCAACACTTGTGATTAGAAATCATTGTATATTCCCCAGCTAAAATGTCACTGCATGTTAATTCTTTTCTTAGTGATAATTACTGAAGATTTATATGGAGAATGATCACATTTGATTTTGCTTTTATAATGGAAGTTCCACTTGTCGGATGGCTTTTTTCTCTTCCTGATCATACTGTTAGCCCTGTTTCACACCACTTCTGATCTTTGTAACTCTTTGTGACTGTAGGTGACAGAACTGTCTGCTTTATCCCAGCAGAGTTCTTGTAATGGTCTAACAGCTCTCTCTTACTGGAAAGAAGGCACCTCATGTATTACAAAGCTGGTTTTCCCCCCATTCCTGCATTTTGTTGGTGTCATCCACTGAACAACTAATACAACATGCTCTGTCTTTTCTTTTGATTAGATCCTGCCTTAAAGACACAATTCTTATTAGTCTTTAACTGCATGCTTTTACTGTGATCCTTCAGTGCACTCACTATGATTCTCTCATTCTTGCCCTTGGCCAACTTCTGTCACTTTTTAAGTTTAATTTTGTAAGTGGAAAGGCAGAGTAAGACTGTGCCTTATGGGAATTTGTTAGTAAATTCCCATGGCAATGAGGGTTTTATTTTTCAGTGGGAAAAAATATCAGTCTCAGTTGTGGGTGGGGAAAAAAGCTGAAAAAGTTATTCTGGTAATTGTTGAGGAAGACTGACATTGAGATGCAATAATGTGTAGCCTCTGGTACACCTTGTAGAATCAAAAAAGTTCTTAAGGTAAGCATGTGTTGTCAAATTGCCTCAACACCAAACTTGAGTTTCTTGTTATATATGACATAGTAATAAAGATGTGACTAGGGGAGGAACTCGGGTGCTTTTGAGTTAATTTAGATCCAAGTCCATGCAGCATCCTGACTGTCAGACTTCAGCGGCTGCTAGTCAAAGTTCTCTGTAGGAAAACTTTTTGCTGAATGGTTATTGACTTCAAATTTGCTTGTGAAAATTTTTAGTTGCTTCTAAAAAGCATAAACACAATGCTGCTTTTCATAAAAGCTTTTTAAGTAAGTCCTTATTATCTTATGAAAAATACGTTCTTTCAAACCTTCTGACAGGGCTGGGAGGAATGAGTAACTTGCATACTTTTTCAAGTCTCTGCATAAATAGGAGCAGACAGCAAGAAGTAGGGGGAAAAATGGAAGTGCTTGTAAAATAATTGCCATTATTAAACATGCACGGTTTGGTTTTGAATCTTCTTTATGGGAAAAACCAAGTGCCTGCTGATTTTTACAAATTTGAAGTGAAAATATGATTTGATTTAAAATTTTGAAAATACTTTTCCCCCAAGATAGCTCTATTTTTAACCAAAATTTCATACAAAAAGGTGAAAATGTGGCAATCTAGCTTCTGCAAGTAACAACACAGTGTGAGTTAGCAGGAAGCATGAAGTGCAGGGAGCCCTGAGCAGCAGCTACCAGAGCCTGCTTGGGAAGATGAGAAGCCACGACAGAGCCTGAAATCTGAGTAGTCTCCCAGATGGGGAAAGGAAAATGGTGCTTGTACAGTCTCCTGCCTTCTGTTGCTGTCCCAGCTCTGTCTGGCTGTGGTTTTGTGGCAGCTGTGATGGAGAGAGATGCTTGCAGCATGGGAATCTTTGGAGCTGGAGAAGGCTGGCTGGCACAGAGGAAATTGTGTGCATTTACCCTTGACTTGATCCACAACCAGTTTTAAACTGTATGACAATTATCAGCAAAATCTAATAGGAACATTAATTTAAATCATTAATAATTACATAAATAATTAATTTTCCTCTTTTGGACTTTTCAGCAGACTGTAATGCTGGTTTTTAACCCTAGAAAAGGGAGGGAAGTGACATAAATCCTGGTGCCAGTGCCTCTGCTTTCTTTGTAGATCTACCATCTCTCCAGCCTTTGGTGATGCCTGACAGCAAGCCACAGAGGTGCATGCTTATAGCAGATACCTGCTAACTTCTGGCAAGAAAAGGAGCTGGAGGCTTGGAGTTACCACTTAGTATCAGAGCTATCGACTGTAATTCTCTGCCTTTGAACATGTGAGTAGGCTTACTTGGTTCTTGCCATATTCCCTTTCCCTCCTTACTAGGGTGACTATAACATCCTCCTAAGATGCAGTTTCTGAAAATGCTATTACAGAAATAGTTCTCATGGTGGAAAGCCAGCCCAGAATCCTCATCCTGATGCTGCTAGAATCTGCCTTCCCTGCTACCACAAGCACTGGGAGCTGTTGACTTAGACCTGACATGGAAATTCAAAGCTAATAACATGCCCTGCCTTTACAGTGTGTGCTCCTCATTTTGCCTGATTGGTCTGTGCTCCAGGGACCACTGTCAAAGGGGTCAAACTGAGGAATGTGATCACATGGATGATGGAAAGGCTGAGGATGTGTCTGCCTGTGCTTTAGTAAAGCATTTGACCCTGTCTCCCACAGCATCCTCCTGGAGAAACTGCAGATGGATGGGGTGGGAATACACCTCACTGGGTGAGAACCTGCCTGTGTGGCTGGGCCCATGGGGTGGTGGATGGGGCTGCACCCAGTGAGCAGCCAGGCACGACTGGTGCTCTCCAGGGCTCAGTGCTGGGGGCAGGCCTGTTTCATATCCTTTTCAGTGGTCTGGAGGAGGGGATTGAGGGCAGACTTACCAAGTTCACAGACAGCACAGTTGGGCAGGAGTGCTGATCTGCTGGGGAGTAGGAAGGCCAAGGGAGCTGGACATGCTGGGTTGAAATGCCAGTTGCATGAGGTTCAGTAAGGTGAACTGCCAGGTCCTGCACTTCAATCACAACAGCCCAACATTCACAAGCCTGTGAAGACTGTGATGTGTAATGCTTATTCTTAACTTGACGTGCTGGTTCATGTGCTATGCTGGCATGGAGCTCTTTAAGCATGGATGCATGAGACAGGCTCTCAGGTAGTTTGCGCTGTGTCTGATACCTGCTGCTCCTTCTGTGCACAATATAAAATCTGCATTTGCTCTCCAGCTCTTTTAAGACAGTGCTGGTTTGATGGCTACAAATTATTCATTTCTCTTCGTACTCTTTGTACGGTCTGCTTAGTATGAAAACAGTTCTTGGCAGTGACAGTCTCTGCATCACATCCAGTATCACAGAGTCCCAGGTGTGGTGTGATCTTAAAGTGCATTTTCAGTACCTCTGTAAGGAGTTTTTGCCAGAGTACCAAACCAAATCCTGTGGATGTGGGTGCATTTGTATTACAATGAAGAGTTCTCCCTCTTCTTCTCTCTCAATTTGGTTTCCTATTTCCCAAACCCAGTGCTGACATCAGGTACATGTATCTCGTCACATGGACAATGGCTCCTTCTCTAAGCTGAACTATTCCTGTCTCAAAAGAATGGAGAATTTTGTGACTTACCCTAGGGCACTGCGGTGTAGCTGGCAGCGATAAAAAAAGCTACAGCAGGGAATGAAGGAAGGTCTTTTCTAGATGATTTTAAGTTCAGGATGTACTCACAATTGAGCTTTTGTTTGCTGTTGTTCTTTTTAAATAACTAAAAATTCAGGGAGTGTATTGGGGGAAGCCACTTCGGTATGTTGGGTGCTCATCTGTCCCGGAGGATGTGGTGTGAACAGGGTGGACAGTTTCCTTCTCTGTGCAGAACAGAGCAAGGATTGTCTGGGTATGAGAAAGGCAAAGCAGTGATCCTTCAGACCACGGCCTTGTTACTCTGTGCTTTTATGTTTGAAATCAGGAGATTCTTTAGCTCAGCAATTTGTACTGTGCTGTAAGACAAAATGAATGAAAAGTGCAGTCTAGGGAAAAGACTAAGGCTTTCTTGAGTTTGCACTGAGCTTGCCCCCTTGATATTTTTTTTGTTTGGTTTGGTTTTTTTGTTTTTTTTTTTTCCCTGACATTTTCCATTTCTGTCAAAATATGTAGGGAGGTCTAAGACTTTGTTTTCAGAACTCAGGACAGACTAGGATTTGAAGGAATACATGGATCACCCTTAGTGTATATATATGTTATGTATAATACAAAGCTGGATTTTTCACCTTTTGGCATCATGTATGGCTTGATTCTTACCACTGTGACATTATTCTTCTGCTTCAGAATGATGCACAGCTTTAGAGCTTTGGTGGAGGAGGGAATGTGTTTTCCTATGATGTTGCCTTTACTTGGGGGTAAAATCACGAGTAGAAGTCCTGGGTAGCACAATCTCATTTGTCAGATTCCAAACTCCAGAGTCAGGTCAATGAAAGGAGGTATGGAACTAAATAACATCCCCAAATTATCTTGTGTATGTGCCTGTTTTCATCAGTCCAGTGAGCAATCTCTCTCCCTCACACCTGAGGGTTACACTGCATTGCTGCTGTGGGGAGGTCCCACATTTCCACAGGCTGTGCACCTCTGCAGCATCTCTCCTCAGGTTTGTGTTCCTGAGCTGTGCTCCTGGCTGGGAGCTCTGCCTCAGGCCCTTCTTGTACTCAGTTCAAATGAGACATGAAAGGACAGTGGAAGTATTCCAGCCTCTTCCTGACTCTGCAGGGATTTTTAAAAATGTACTGTTTTACTTTTTTCTTCTAGAAGACTCTGTGCATGTTTTTCCTGTTTGCAGGGGTTTGGATTTGCTAAGGCAGTTCCCTTGCCGATGGGCACACCTTTTCCTGTTTGAAACACAATGGCAGGCTATATATTCTATTTGTTTCATCACCTTTGTAAACCTCATTTCAGGAAGATGAGCTGTGGAGCTGGTGCTGGATGAGGAGTAAATGTGATGAATGGCATTTCTTACCCTCATGTTCAGGCAAGCATTCAGGTTTGTTTCATTTGCATGGAAGTAGAAGGGTATGAACAACAACTTGAGTGCTGCTTTCTCTTCATTATTCACCTTGTTAAGTCCCTATTTTGCTGTGTTTGCCTTTCCTATAATCACAAATGTTCTTCTTGCCTACACACACTTTGGATGTGCCTTGAGAGATTCAGCTCCTGGTGCAAATTTTGAGTAACTGCCTTGAGTTTAGTGCAGCTTTTATTTAGCTACAACTCTCTCACAGGTCATGGAGTTAGGGCAATATAAGCCAGAAATGAATCAGGAACAGTGTTCTCATAGCTCTTGACCTCCCAGGGACAGGTGCTGGTCCCAATGCCTTTCCTGAGTCATTGGCTTTAGAGTTGCTCTGTTTTACCCCCCAGCACAGCCTGACTCTGTTCCTTCTTTCCCAGGGTTGTTCCAATGCCATAGAAGGGTAAAAGGAGGAAAGAAAGGCATGCCCTGGAAAACCACTGCAAGTCTTCCCAGCATTAAACTGAGTTTTTAGCCATCTTTTTCATGTGACTTTTAAATTGGTCACATAGAAGGTGAGGCCATGCCCTGCACATTACACACCTGAGTTCAGAAGTGACAGACCTTTCTGGGGAGCTTCCAGCAACAGCAAACACGGAGCAACTAGTGGTGAATTAATGGGTAAATGTTTTATTGTCGGGCTGTGTAATGCTATTATTGTGGCATGGGACAGGAGTATTTGATATTGTGCTGGTCACTAATTCATGTGTGAAGCCTTAAGCGTTGATCTGTGCGGATTAAATGCATGCTGGAGATGTTTTCTGTGCTGTGCCACTTCAAAATCTCTCCCATGATTCAACACATTCAAAGCAAATAATTTTCTGTTTCCCATTTGCCAGTGAATGTGTGCCATTTAGTTTGTAATTGGAACACAGTATGCTGTGTGTGTCTCTGCTAAATCATGAAAAGTGGTCCATTTTCTAAATTGCACAAGTATTTGTCACCTTTGTTTTAAAATGAGAGCCATAAATTTTATGGGGTGTGTGAATATATGTATTAGTTTTCCCACACAGGTGAATAAGTCATACTGTGATCTGACATGGGCTTTATGATCCTGCTCAGGTTATGTTCTATGCTAAATTTTGTCTGTTGCTTCTATATTTAGAATTGAGCTTTGATTTTTTTTTTTGAGGAAACAAAAATATGATAAAAATAGGCATATCAAAAGGACTGTGCTTCTACGTGTTTTTCATAAGCCAGGAGATGCAATGAGCTGTGGCAATTTGGCACGCTGGAGGTGTTTGACAGTCCATTGCGTACTAAATATGGTACATTTAAAAACTTTGATTTTACACAACTGCGAATCCATTTGATAAATGTGTTTTCTAGGGAGTTTTAAAATACTTGTATTGGCTGAGCAAAGTCCTCTAATGCTTAATGGGGCATGACAGTGGCCTCAGCCATGCTGGGATGTGGAATGTCAGCTGACAGGGGAGACAGAAAGGGTTATGTTCCTAATCTTATGGGGGATGAAATGCAAATGAATTAATGGAACAGAATTCCTTCACACTTCTGGAAATACAGTATTTTTTTCCAGGTCAGCAAACATTATGGAAACCTTACTGTCTCTGCCTCTGAAAAAACATGTGCCCTTCAAAAAGAGAGTGAAACTTCTCTAATTTTGTTCTTTACTGATACTATCATCTTTTATTGAATATGTGGGATGTTCTTGGGGATTTTTGGTGGAGAGGCTGAGGGAGGGAAACGGAGGCAATTTGCAAACAACGTGACTTAACATGATAGGAGTTAATCAGAGTTCCTGTGCCAAGCCAGCATTACTCAATAAAAGCACTGCTGCTCTTTCTGAGCTCTTCAGCTGTCTCTGTATTTTGGTTGGGGGGGGGGAAGGACTCAAAGAAATGGTGTAGGATTTCAGGCTGCCTACTATTTGTAAGATACATGGCATTTGTAGAGCAAAAAGATGGCAAAGTGCAGTGCAGCGAAAAATGCTGATGCAGAGTTGGAGTGGGGTTATCTGATATGCCTAAAAGAGCTTTTGGTAAAATTTTGTCACAGTTGCTCAAAGAAATTGAATTTAGGCCCTTGCCAAGAGCTGTTGAAAACCCCATTTTGAGCTAAGGTCCTTTTTCTGAGGTTAACTCAACAGGAGCTTTATGAATTTGTGATGCAGGATTGAAACCAATGGGGAAACGGGAAATAAGTGGAAATCTGGGAATGCTTAGAGTAGTAACTGGAGCCAGTGCAGTTGGGAAAGTGACTGTGGAGGG